TGGTAATATATATTTTTTTAAAAAGTATTATAATATTATGCTCAGCTGCTGTATCGAGCACTGTTTTTTAAAAATAAGAATAAATGCTAAGATCTATTCTTTCCTATTATTTTAATATATATATATATATATATTATCTTTATTTTATTTCTTTTGATTTCTGATGAGTACTCATTTCTTTCCGGGTACCGCCCAGGGACCTAAGGTTAGAAATAGCATCATGATATTTTCCACTGAAAAAAATTATATAGACAAAGCCCTTCGCAAGGTGTAGGCTGTACTCGCGAAAACAATTTTTTGTATTTCTTTAAGGCATGGGTTTCCAAGAATCCCTTCATTTAGTCTACTGTAATCTTTTCCACCCAATCCAAGGGCTCCAACTACAACAGGGATTGTTAATGTTCCCATGTGCCACATTTTTGAGATTTCTATTTCAAGGTCCTTGTTTTTTGACAGCTTTTTGAATATCTTCAAAGATACATTGCAGTCAGCAGGGACTGCCATATCGATAAGGAGGCATTTTTTTTTTTTTTTTTTTTGTGGTCTTTAATAAAAATGTCTGAGCGGTTGGCTTTGATTGTTCTGTCAGTGTATATTGTGTAGTCCCATAGAATTGTAACAGGGTCTGGTTGGTGTTCATGCCAGTTTCTTTCAGTTTCCTTCCCGTAGAAGTTTCAAATTTTCCAGTGCAGATATTGACCTACTCTGTCGTGACGGGTTTTATATTCAGTGGGTGCCAATATCGTGCAACCTGATACAAGATGATCAATCGTTTCTGGATATTTATCACATAATCTGCATTTTGGGCTGACACAATATTTTAGTATATGTGCTTCATAATTCCTAGTAAACAAGCATTGGTCCTGTGCAGCAAGGATAAAACCTTCAGTTTCAGCTTTCAACCCTGCACTACGTAGCCACTGATGGGTACGGGTTTTGTCTACGTCAACTTTTTTGGTACGGACAGAGTATTGGCCATGAAGCGGAATATATTGCCATTGTTTCTGTAGCTGACATTTGTCTTTGCTTTCTTTTTTAAGTATTTTGAAGCTTCAGCTGGTGTATTGTGCTTTACTTGTATTTCTGCGCCCATTTGGAACTCCATTTTGAATTTGTTGGCTTCCTTTATTAGGGAGTAAAGACGCTTACTACTTTCATGTTCCTTGACACATACCATCATCCAGTCTTCTGTAGTTTCCAAGTTGTTGTAGTTTTGTAGGACAGTTCTAGTTGAACTAATCCTCTGCCTCCTTCGGATCTGGGCACATACAGTCGATCAACATCAGCTGTGGGATGATGCATGCGGTAGCAAGTGAGTAGGTTTCTCGTTTTGGCGTCCATTTGCTTAATTTCAGCTATGGTCCAATTAATGACATTAAAGCTGTATTGCACCACAGGGACAGCCAAGGTGTTTATGGCTGATATTCTGTTTTTTTTTTTAATTTAGCTCGTTATTTAGTACCAGACTTACACGGCTGTAGTACTCCTTTCTTACCTTCTCCTTCATTTGAGGGTGTTGTATGCCATCTCATTCGCTAATTCTTAGGTACTTATAAGCTTAATCATGCTCCAGTTTTCTAATCTTTGTGACAAAATCTAAATCTATTAAGGGTGTTTCTGTAATTCTACCTTTCTTGAATGTTACTTTTGTATATTTATCTAATCCAAAGTCTATAAATATTTCGTCCCTGAAGTATTTTACAATATTGAGGAGGCTTTTCAACTCATTGTCGTCTTTGGCAATGAGTTTGAGATCATACATGTAGAGTAGGTGATTGAATATATTCTTATTTTGTAACAATTTGTAACCATAGCTACTGTTGTTCAGTTCATGCGTTATTATTATTATTATTATTATTATTATTATTATTATTATTATTCTTTCAATCCTCTCATGAATTTAGCTAATGTAATATCTTTCTATTCGTGGAAATATATTGTGGTTATTTGGGATGAATAAAACTTGTCTCCGTTATTTTAGTGGTGTGTTTTATTTAAAATTTACATATGATAATTCAACAAATTTATTATAATTTTCATTTCGATGAATAATTATATCTTTAGCTCAAGTTTTGATTTCATGTATGTTGTAATGGAAATTACTTGTGATATTTTGTTTCAGTAATTCGACAATATTTTGCCTAATTGTAACACTATAAGAAATTTTGTATTAGGGTGGGTAACTAACGCCTACCAAAAATGTGGTCCGCATATTTTTCCTCCTTTTTATATCATTCCCAGTGCCCTAAATAACAATAGGTCTTCTTGTTGTCTTCAGAGGCTACATTCTACAGATTAATATCTCGAGGTCCTTGTGTTCACTTAATTTCTCAAACATTTTTTGTCAGCTGGTCGGTAACGTCTGCCAAAAGACATCTGCTATCAATATGATTGTATAGAATACAGCTTTTACCCACGCTTTGTCCTTTATTTCCAGAAATATTGCTAAATAAAAAATAAGAGCAGATACATACCCCTATCGCCCGGTTCACACACCTCCCTGATCTATTGAACAGGAATAGGGTTTTAGCCTTTGTTTTCTAATTAGGATTGGGTTTCCAGTTGCTTCTAAATTCTACTTCAACTCTATACTCCAAAAGTCTCCGCTTAAACCCTGGAAATTTATTTACTTATTTTTTTCCTATAAAGTTGTAGGTAGGTAGACCTATCGTACTGTTCAAACTCCTCACTGGTCTTTTGAATAGGAGTATAGGTTTATTCCTTGTTTTCTGTTTAGAGTTGGGTTTCCAGTTCCTTCTAATGTCTTTTCATTCTCTTTCACTCTTAGTAGACTCTTGCATCTTAGTGGCAGTATCATCATCTTGCTTGGGGTGTATTGATTAAAACAAAAACTAAAAAAAGTACTTTTTAAATTATCTTCTCTAATCACTTCACACTAATCGATGAGATACCTCGCAATATGTACAAACACTGATAATTAAACATTGATTCACGACAATGGTGACGAAGGAAGTGACACCCATTACTGACTTTGGGCAGCTGATAAGATATTTCGCCGAGCTAACATTACGCAAAAATATACCACTACAAAGTGATTTAGTATTTTATTAATTATTTAAAAATGATTGTAAAAAATGAAATTTTAAATTAATTCAACCCCTAAGCGAATCGAGGAGCCTAACTTGATGCATTATCGGCGGGCGTAATCGTAACAGTATCAGATGAGCAGATTGCATTGTGCTGATTAAAGTTAGGATTGTTTTCTTTTTGTAAACTAACTGATTTCCTGTATCATAATTCAATGAACTTTTGTTCGAAAATAATGAAGAAGGGTTTAATTTAATTTATTTTTTTAAATGTCACCATGACACACGAAATTTCTAAAATCGTATATTAGTAGTACTATGACTTTCTGGAGCTTTCTAGAACTTTATGTAACCTTCCTTAACTTATTTATGTTTAAATTCAAAAATAAAACTTCTGCAAGTATGCAATTCTTTGTTTATTTGTAAGGTTGTTCGTTACATTATTGCTATAAACTGTTAAATGCATTAAAATACATATGCACTATCCAATTGCATCATTAGCAAATTAAAAAATAAAGCTGAGATGAGGTATTATGTACGCTATTTACATTGTTCATACTATTGTCCTCATATCTGTTGCTATATTTATCACAACGTTTCTCTGCTATGTGTCCTTAAGGACATATGGCACAGTGGATAAAAAACGTTAGTTAGATCCACTGACAGAACCCAAAGAGTGTGATTTCAATACCTGGTTAAGGCGGTGGAGAACATGGAGAAATGAATTAACAGGAGATAACTGATAACTGACATCTATTTGACATGGCACGTGGAACTAGAACAGTCTACGCCAGCGAGCGAAATAAAGCATTCAGTTCGACATTCCAACCACCTGAAGAAGAATGGAGCGTACAACGGCCGAAACGTTGTGATAAATATTGCAACAAAGATGAAGACGATAGTCCGAACAATGTAAATAATGCTTCTGTAAGTATGCAATTTTTGTTTATTTCTAAGTTTGTATGTTATGCTATAGCTATAAACTGTTAGATGCGTTTAAAAATACATAAGTAACGAAAATTTCGTCATAAGAAAAGAATAATGAACTCATATCTAATATCAAACGTTTTGTATGACAGTGAATGCTAGACATTCTCCTCGCCGATTAAGAGAAAACTGTAAGCAAAAGCGTTTCACCTACTCTACTCTATCAAATGGATGACAGAAAGGGTGGGGAGGATTGTCAGAGAAAAAAACCGCTGCTAAGGGCTACAAGGAATAGGAAATTATGGAAAACCGTGATCGCCCTCGTCCTACAGATACGTCCCTTTGTCATTTATCGTAATGAGTACAGGGGTGTCCTCAAAGAATCAAGGACACTATTTGCTGAAATAAGGAGACACCGTATAGCCACCCACAAATTTGGTTCTGGAGATTATTGGTGGCTCTGCAAGAGTGTGCTGGACAATAGCATATCCCTAGTCCCTCTTTTCTTTAATTAATTTGAAGTCCTGCAGGGAAGGGTTTGTTTGTTCAACGGCATATCAACACCTTATGGGTCATTTAATGCCGAAGTTTAATTTTCTGGGGAGCATTAGTAATTTCATTTACAAAAATGTATTACTGGTAATTTTTTCTTTAAAAATGTATTGCCGGCAATTCTTTTATTTTTTTTCAAAACATGTATTACTGGTATCTGTACTATGAAAATGTATTTTTATACTTATATAGCGTTTTGGCCCCACTTTGGAGGTTAACTATTTGCCCATATCTAGGACCTTAACAGGTGCTACCACCCCGGCTTATGTTAGACCTGGGAACAAAAGCAATTAACAGTTAGTTCGACGCTCCTCAAAAACCTCCCGATCAGAGGCCTTGCTACCAGATTTCGTTTATTGTCATACCAAGGACAGGGCAAGATTTAAAATTTGTTTTAAAATATTCGTTTGGGAATTACTGTCTGTGATATGAAAAAAATCTAGCTGATACCAATTTTCTTATATTTATAGGCTTATGAAGTGAACACGTGTCCTCAAAAAATAACAAACTCACTATTTGCTGAAAAATGAAACACTATTTCAAACAAGTTTTGTTTTAGAGATTACTGGCGGCTGTGCAAGAGTGTGCTGGACAATAGCCTATCTCCAGTCCCTCCTCTCTTCAACCACTTTGAAGTATTGATATCTACAGCAGATTAGATAAATTCTCTTTCAATTCCACTCTCGGCTCACCTGCAGTACATCTGCTAGATTTTCTTCATAGAATGAAGGCTTTATTGAATGTCATGCATATATCCCCGTCGCTGGTTGCTGACATCGTCTCTAAATTAGACCCCCACAAGGCATTCTAGCTCAAAAATAGCAAGTGAAACGATAATCATTTCCTTGGTTCTCAACTTCTTCTTCAGCTGCTCTAAGCCACAAGAATCGCTTCTTTTGACTATACCACTTCGACTGGTCTGATTGTAACAGATATCACTTTGTTACTGCTTGTAATAAGTGCAAGCGTGTCCTTAAAGCAGTAAAGTCACCATTTACTGATAGAATGAAAAGCTGTATAGCCTCTCACAAGTTTGGTTCTAGGGATTACCGGCGCCTCTGCAAGGGTGTGTTGAATAATAGAAAATCGTCAAACCCTCCTCTCTTCAATCAATTTGAAGTTTGACTACTGCAAATTAGATAAAGTGTTTTGTCCAGAAATTCTCTTCCAACTCCACTCTCGACTTATCTGCAGTACCTCTGCTAGATTTTCTACCTAGAATGGAGACTTTACTGAGTGTCATGCACATAACCCCATCACTGGTTGCTGACATCGTCTCTAAATTAGACCCCCACAAGGCAAGCGGATGCAATGGTATTCCTGTTGTCATCTTAAAGGAATGTGTTTCGTAGCTGGCTCCTGTTCTCTACAAACTTTACAACAGACGTCTCACTGCTTCCTAGCTTGTTGGAAGTCCTCCTCCTGTTTTTTAAGAACTCTGGGGAATCTTCTGACCCCTTAAATTATTGCCCATTGGTCTCCTTTCAGCAAAGTATTCAAAGCCCTAATCAATGCCAAATTAGTTAAGCATCGACTTCCTTTTAGACTGCCACTGAGATCTCTTCCTGGGTGAAAGCTGGTGTCAAAACTTTCATTCCAGCTCAAAAATAGCAAGTGAAACGATAATCATCTCCTTGGTTCTCCACTGCTTGCTCGGCTGCTATAACCCACAAGAATCAATTCTTCCAGCTATACCAGAGTAACAGGTCTGATTGTAACAGATCTCTCTTTGTCACTGCTTCCAATGAGTTCAAGCGTGTCCTCAAAGAAGCAAAGTCAGTATTTACTGATAGAATGAAACACTATAGTCTCTCACAATTTTGTTTTTAGAGATTACTGGCGGCTCTGCAAGAGTGTGCTGGACAATAGCCTATCTCCAGTCCCTTCTTTCTTCAATCAATTTCAAGTACTGACATATAATGCAGATTTCTATTTCAATTTTAACCCCAATTAATCAAAACGCTTGAAAAATATTCGTTTAGGAAATACTGTCTCTGATATAAAAAAAAATGATACCAATTCTCATATATTTATTGATTTATGAAGAAATGTTTGCTTGCGTCTTATGGCTAAATGCCAGTGTAGAGTTATAATCATACATTCTACATATACTTACACAAAGGCTTATAGATGCATACACAGATGTAAGAAAAGTCAAGTTTAATGTAAAGATTTATGGAGTGTATGTCTACCGATTCAGCTTCCCATCCGATGGTTTTAGTCCATTATATCGCGTTTCCTCTTTCTTAATTCAATGTCAATTAATGGTTCTTATTTAAGCAATGTCGTCTTTGTCTGTCTGGTTCAAACCGAGATTTAACATTGCAACTTGACTCGATAGGTGCTACCCCCACCTGTGACACGGACTTTAACCTCCAGACTTAATCTCCTTTTAGTCCACCTGAAATATTTTAATCTCTAACTCTTTCTTTTGGCTTTACTACGACTTTTATTTTTATGTTCTTATAGCTCTTTTATCGAGTCCTTATAAAGCGTAGTATTCTTTACTAGTTTTCTTTCTTTTCTTAATTCAATTTGTTTTTTTTTTTTTCATTTCTTAGTTTTCGTGTGTTTTTCTTTCTTTCTTTTTTTTCTTATTTCGTTTTTTTTTTCTTTTCGTCCTTTTTCTTCATTTGGTTCTTTCTTTCTTATTTTCATTATTCTTTTTTTATTCATTTGGGTTCGTCTGTTTGGTTGCCTCTTCCTTTCTTTGTTTGCTTTTTTCTTTCTTTTTTTCATTTCTTTCTTTTCTTACTTTTTCTTATTTCATTTTTTTTTTTTTTTTGCCCTTTCTTGCTTTTTCTTGATTTCGGTTTGGTTATTTATTTGATACTTTATTTCTTTCTTTCTTTCTTTCTTTCTTTCTTTCTTTCTTATGACTATATCCCTTTTAACTTTCTTTCTTTCTTTTTCCACTATCACTATCTTACGTTTAACTTTATATTCTTTCTTTCTTTCTTTCTTTCTTTCTTTCTTATTTCGTGGTTTACCCTTTCTTTCTTTTTCTTGATTTTGCTTTCTTTCTTTTCTTCCTTTCTTTTTATTTCTATTTCTTTCTTGCTTAAATATTTTGTGTTTGTCTTTCTTTCTATATTTTTCTAGATTTGCGTCTCTTTCTTTCTCTTGTTACTTCATTTTTTTTTCTTTTTCTTAATTTTTCTGTCCTTGTTAGCTTATTAATAATGAATAAAGATGAAAACTTTATCTCTTTCTTTCTCTTTTCTTTGTTTTCTATTTTATTTTACCGGTTTCTTTTTTTCTTCATTTCTTTTCCTTTCCTTGATTGTTTTTGTCTGGTTTAACTCCTCTTTCATTTTCTTTCCTTATTAATTTACTTTCTTTCTCTTTGTTTCTTTCTTAACTTCTTTTTCTTTTTTCTTTCTGACTTGAGGCCTCCGTTCTCTCTTTCTTCCTTGTTATTTTACTTTATCTCCGCATTTTCTTCTTTCTTCGTTTTCTTTTTTCTTTCTTTTCATTTTACGGACATTCTCCTCCTTCCTGTCTTTACTTACAACCTCCTACTACTACTTTCTTTTGTCTTTATACTTACCTTTTCTCTCTTCTTTCTTTGTTTTTCTTCATGTTTTCTTTCTTTGTTCTCTACTCTTCATCTTTATTAATATTTACCTTGCCACTTGGTCCTTTTATATTTATATTTTCCCGTTCTTATTCTTAATTTTCTTTTCTGAACTGTTATAATTCTCTTATCCTACTCATTTACGACGACTGCAAATTTGGTTGACGAAACATTCTCTCCTTTGTTTGTCGTTCGATGGCAATAGAAGTGTTTCATTTTAAATTCATTACAAGATAATCGCTAATGTCATTTCGCTTTCTTTGAGAGCGGCCATTTTCTTTTTAATATTAAAAATACTTGCGTACATTTCATTTCTTCCTTCATTAGTACTAGAAGAAAATACAGGCGATTGGCTGAATAGTTAAAATTTCGAACATGAGACCCGGTTCCGATCTCATCATAACCGATTTTTCATAGATAATATTGGCATAGGAAGACTATCCCAGCGCGCGGCACTGTTGGCATGGGGGTACCTGAGAACAATACTACGCATTTATCTTTCCTTTATGAGGGAATCTGGTTTGTGGTTGCACTAACATGAAGTCACCAGTCGTGAGTGTACGCGTCTTTAAATTACCGATCACCCAAATTAAGCGTTCTCTCACAGAAAGCCAGGGCTACTTAGCACTATTCCAATATAAATCGCAAGGTATCTTTCTGAGTGTTAAAGTAACACAAATATGGCTGACCAGGCGACTGCAACAGGAATCATGAGTTTCTGTTTAAAGCAAGAAATATTTTTAGATGGTAAGAATTTTTTTTTCTTTTGGAGATGATAATAGTTTTATCAATACAAGTCTTGATAATTAACCCATAGGTGGGGAGAAATTGGTGGATTCATACGTAATACAAGGATATTTGCACATAATTGTATAAAACGAATAGAATTGCAACACGGCGCTCCGTTTTCCTCGACGTCATCCATTTCACAACCCGCACATCAAAACATATAGCGCCTATTATCCCTAAGCGGTCACCCACTTTAGGGTTCTGACTAAGCTCGACGTTGCTTAACTTCAGTGATCATACAAGAACCGATGTTTCAACGTGATACGGCCGTAAGATATGGAACATATGATATATAAATATACACATCAAACTAATAAGGGATTACTGAATGAAAAAATAAAAAAAAACTCTTTCTATAGATAATTGTTATGGAATGATTGATCGATTGAATCGTTTTCTACAGTATATTGGCCCTTTGTAGGTTATTCAAAGCCAGAAAATATTTTCAGATTATAAGAATTTTTTTTGGTATAATAATGATTTAATGATACAAGTCTTACTAAGTATAATTAACCCATAGCAGGGGGAGAAGAGGTGAATTCATACCTTTCCCAAGGATGTTTATAAACTCAATCGGAATTGGAACTCATTAACAATTCCAAGATATTATCCACTGCATCATCCGTAAATCCAAGCTTACAGCAGCTGGTATTCCCGAGCGGTCACCCATCGAGGTACTGATGAGGTACGACGTTGTTTAACTTCGGTGATCGTACGGAAACTGATGTTTCAACGTGATGTGGCCGTAGGACGCAAAAGGGCTTCGCTAGCCGCCATTACAGACTGGCATACTAAGAATCCGGTAACAAGCCAATATGTGATGTGGCCGTAGGACGCAAAAGGGCTTCGCTAGCCGCCATTACAGACTGGCATATTAAGAATCCGGTAGCAAGCCAATATGTGATGTGGCCGTAGGACGCAAAAAAAAGCTTCGCTAGCCGCCATTACAGACTGGCATAATAAGAATCCGGTAGCAAGCCAATATGTGATGTGGCCGTAAGACGCAAAGGGCTTCGCTAGCCGCCATTACAGACTGGCATAATAAGAATCCGGTAGCAAGCAAATATGTGATGTGGCCATAGGACGCAAAGGGCTTCGCTAGCCGCCATTACAGACTGGCATATTAAGAATCCGGTAGCAAGCCAATATGATGTGGCCGTGGGGACGCAAAGGGGCTTCGCTAGCCGCCATTACAGACTGGCATAATAAGAATCCGGTAGCAAGCCAATATGTGATGTGGCCGTAAGACGCAAAAGGGCTTCGCTAGCCGCCATTACAGACTGGCATAATAAGAATCCGGTAGCAAGCCAATATGTGATGTGGCCGTAAGACGCAAAAGGGCTTCGCTAGCCGCCATTACAGACTGGCATATTAAGAATCCGGTAGCAATCCAATATGTGATGTGGCCGTAGGACGCAAAAAGGGCTTCAAAACAGACTGGCATAATAAGAATCCGGTAGCAAGCCAATATGTGATGTGGCCGTAAGACGCAAAAGGGCTTCGCTATACAGACTGGCATAAGAATCCGGTAGCAAGCCAATATGTGATGTGGCCGTAGGACGCAAAAGGGCTTCGCTAGCCGCCATTACAGACTGGCATAATAAGAATCCGGTAGCAAGCCAATATGTGATGTGGCCGTAAGACGCAAAAGGGCTTCGCTAGCTGCCATTACAGACTGGCATAATAAGAATCCGGTAGCAAGCCAATATGTGATGTGGCCATAGGACGCAAAAAGGGCTTCGCTAGCCGCCATTACAGACTGGCATAATAAGAATCCGGTAGCAAGCCAATATGTGATGTGGCCGTAGGACGCAAAAGGGCTTCGCTAGCCGCCATTACAGACTGGCATATTAAGAATCCGGTAGCAAGCCAATATGTGATGTGGCCGTAGGACGCAAAATGGCTTCGCTAGCCGCCATTACAGACTGGCATAATAAGAATCCGGTAGCAAGCCAATATGTGATGTGGCCGTAGGACGCAAAAGGGCTTCGCTATTCCCAGAAAGTGGCCATTTTTAATAGATATTTTGCTCTGGTCATTCTGCCAAATTCTCCATTCATTCTTTCTTTCCTGGGTGATTCTTATTGAATCCTACGATCACGCCATGTCACAAGTCCAGCAAGCGATTTGTATTGTGGGGTAACAAATGCATTGCAAATATAGCAGTAGTCGTGCGACTAAGACAAGATAGCTTCACCGATTCTATCCATCTTCCGGCTGGTTTTCAATTCAGACTTATCTTTCCCCCCAGGGGAGTTGCTATCTTATGATAAGAAAAGACAGTCTACTTTTTTCTTTCTTTTTTTTACAGTGAGTGTCACCCTTTACAAGGTCCGATGGCCACGCGAGGTAGACGGTTACCTTAGGAGGTTATTTGTGTGTAAAGGTGAGGGAGATAACGATTTACTCTAACCTTGAAAAGGTTAAAATTGTAGTGATCGGAGAAACATTCTGTTGGGAGTCGATTCCACAGGACAGTAGTTCTAGAGAAGATGCTACTCGAGTGGAACTTACTTCTCACTGAGGGAATATGGAGGGAATGAGAATGGTTTGCTAGTGTGACATGGCGTGTTTTTGCCATGAAGGTTTGCCTTGGCAATGAAGTTCGTCCGAGCATTTTCCATGGAAGTAGCAGTCAAGCAGCGAGATGCTTGCCACATATTACCTGTGGGAGAGGATTTGATAGGTGGAGAATAATACGTCACCCAGAACGGCTCGGAGAGGCTTTTGAACTCTAACAAGTCTGGAGAGTGAGGTGCAACAGTACTTCATTTTTGTCATGATCTGGCTCTTGTAAAGGTGGAGAACAGCAAGAGGAGTGAGGTACTTACTGGAGTGGTACAGGGAGCCGACCATTTGACTTGCATCCTTAGCAAAGGATCTTAACCTATTCCTGGGGAAAAATAGTCAGGCCTTTTTCAAGGATATCAGCGCGGAGTGAAATAAATAGAATCGACAGGAAATAGAACCCGGATCGCTGATATCATTTTTCATCACCGATAACCGTTACGTCATCCCAACTGCCAAGTCTTATGTCAAACACGAAATGAAAAAAAAAGCAGTCATTTTGTTAAGCCTCCTTCTGGCTTAAAAGTACTAGCGAGTTGCTTCGTGGGACGCTTGAACTCCCTACGGCAAAAATGATTTTTAAGTTTAAGCAAGCTAACGTCTGTTGCAGGATGAATTGTCATTAAACCATTAGTTTTACTGTCTTGCTATCTATCGATTACTGATTCTACTCTCATATATGGGAAGATATATTTGAAGGTAAGCTTGATCTTTTCGAAAGATGTTAGAATAAATGGGTGCAAATCATTTATATACTGATATATATATATATATATATATATATATATATATATATATATATATATGTATGTGTGCGTGTGTATATGTATATATATATATATATATATATATATATATATATATATATATATATATATATATATATATATATATATATATATATATATATATATGTATGTATGTATGTATGTATGTAT